ATTCCGGCTCATAGCAACCCTGTAGGACAGAGTAGAACTGCCCCCACAGGGTTTCCAAGGAGCAGCTGGTGGATTCAAACTGCTGACCTTTCGGTTAGCAGCCATAGCTCGCCATAGCTCTTAACCACTGCACCACCAGGGCGCCTGCAGGGGAGCGCAGGGACCCAGAATCCGTGCAGCCTCAGAGGACATCACAGGCTCCTCACAAGGCCACCAGCTCCTCGTCCGCAGGAGTCCAGGGCAGGCTGGGAGCGGCACTGCACAGCCAGGGGCCCCAGGTTTCCTTTCCAGCCCAGCGCATGGTGTTGCTTGACACCTTGGGGCTGGGGCAGGGAGCACCCTGTTGCCTTGGGCCTGCGCTAGCTCTCCAGAGCATGAAGACTTAGTACAAAAGGAGAGTGTAAAGTATCTCATTGGTATGTCATATTGATTACATGTTGAAATGTAATATTTTGGACATGCTGTGTTAAATAAAACATGTTAACATTTATTTCAGTAATTACTATCATAGACTTCAGGGAAGTTTTGAAAACTGTGAATTCAGGTTTCTCAGCAGTGGGGATTTTCAGTTCAGATGAAATCGTCCACCTCAGTCTTGACATCTGCATCCCACCGGGTCACTTCATTCGCTATGCACTTCTGGCGTTTTACCCTGCCTGTCTGCAGCTTCCGTGAAATGCCAGTAGTTATAAACCTTACTCATAAAGGATTTTTGTTAAGGCCATGTGAGCCTGCTAAGACTTTGATGTGGTCCTAACCCTTGAGCACTGGCAACCTCCATGTGCCAAACACCTAGCAGCACACCTGCTGTGTCCCAGATGTGGCAACGCTGCGGATTTCTGGGATGGACAGGAAGTGCTGATGGGACCTTTGTTGTCGTTGCTGTCGAGTCAGCTCCAACTCACGGTGGCCTTCTGTACGACAGAATGAAACGTTCCCCAGTCCTGCAGCATCTTCATGATCGTTGATATGTTTCAGTCCATTGTTGAGGCTGTTGTGTCAGTTCGTCTCATTGAGGGTTTCCCTCGTTTTCATTGACCCTCTACCAGGAGCCCTGCTGGCACAGGGGTTAAGCATTCGGCTGCTTACCAAAAGGTCGGCAGTTCAAATCTACCAGCTGCTCCTTGGGAGCCCTATGGAGCAGTTCTGCTCTGTCCTGTAGGGTCACCTTGAGTCAGAATCAACTCCACGACAATGGGTTTGGTTTTGGTTTTTCTACTTTACCAAACAAGATACCTTGTTCTAGCTATTGTTATACATAGGGTTTTGATTGGCTGATTTTCAGAAGTAGGTCACTAGGCCTTTCTTCCTAGTCTTTCTTAGTCTGGAAGCTTTGCTGAAACCCTGCTGGTATTTGAAATAGCTTCCAGCATCACAGCCACACACGTCACCACAGTATGACAAACTGACAGACAGACCAGGACCATAATCCCAGCTAGTTCTGCCTTGCTTGCAGTTCCTTCACATTTAAATAAGTGTGGTTTTTACCAAACTGGACAGGCCTGAGGATGGGGGAGCAGCGGGGGAGAGGAATGATATTTTCATGTCTGTTTCCTGAGAGAAAGTAATGTTGCATCTTCAAAACAACATCTGTCAGAACGATTTTCATCAGATTAAATAAATCCTCAGAGCAGCCATCACAGCTTCTAGAATCTTGGAAATGTAGGTTACACTTTGCATGGAATCCTAATAGAATTTAAAATACTTGTGTTTTGCAAACACAGCTTTGGAAGCAGATTCTTTCCTAGGTTTCTTATCTGAGAGTTTTTGTTTAAGCTACAATGTCTCAAGGAGTTTAGAGGGTGTGTTTATAAATGTAATAAGCAATTGTTTACCAATTGAAGATACTGTTAACTGGAAATGGAATAACTCATTGAGCTTGAGGAGCTTTGGGACAAGCTGGATAAAAACCTGCAACGCAGCAGACACATTGTCCAAGTAAGAGCTTTGTCAAAATAGACATTGCCGTCAGATAGTACATCATGAGGCCAGCCTTTGGCTGTCTTTCCACAGGTGGCTGCCGTATCTCCTTAAAGTAGATTGCACCCTCCTCGGTTTTGGAGGAGAGAGGAAGACACTTTTGGGGGGACTCTTGGGTCATAAAGACCTTGAATGAATGGTCAACATCGATTGATATTTATTGTTCCATGCTGCAAGGAAGCTTGTTCTTGGATCCATTGCTGAGCTTGCTGGGCTTTTAAAGCCCCCTTAGGAGGGTGTGGAGAGTTTCGCATTCTACTCAGGACACTGTCTTTAGAGAGAACATTTGCCTGGAGCTGACCAGAGCTGCTAAGCCGAGCTTCTGCTGGTGTTCTGGCCCATTCCTGCCGGTTTCTCCTCCCTACGCTAGATAAGACTGCACACGTTTTTAAAAAACAGTACGATGTATTCCAGCCGGAAACCACCCCCCCACCCCTCCCCAGGAGCGCTGGATTGCGGGGCAGTGCCTCCTTGCATTCGGTACCTTTTCCCTACCAGTGCCTAGCAGGTGGCGGCATCTGAGAACAGCAGTACAGAGGAGAGTGTATGTGCTGCCATTTCCACATCCCTTTCAAATGTATTTATGAAATATACTAATCCAGGCCAAAAGGAGCCCTGGTGGCGCAGTGATTAAGCGCTTGGCTGCTAACTGAAAGGTCGGCGGTTTGAGCCCACCAGCCGCTCCATGGAAGAAAGATGTGGCAGTCTGCTTCTGTAAAGATTACAGCCTTGGAAACCCTATGGGGCAGTTCTCCTCTGTCCTGTAGGGTCGCTATGAGTCGGAATTGCCTCGACAGCATACAACAACAACAGTTCCAGGCCACAGCTCCCAAGATTTCCATGCCAAACCCTGAGCCAAATTCCCAGGGCCAAGCCTGGCTGGCCCGGGCCTGGGGTGGTGTCAGCAGGCTGAGCTTTCTTGCAAAGGAATCCTAACATGTGCAGAGTGGTCTTAACCTTGAACTGCCCTCCCTCACCGCTGCCTGGCTATAAATCCTGTAGCTGAATTATGTATGTTTAAAAAAAAAATGCAACCCAGTGACGCACACAAAACAAAAGCTAAAGCAAACCGAGGTGATGAAGGGCCGTTTCTGTGCTGCTTGATAAGACTGGAAGTACCTCAGTCTCGCCAAGTAACGGGGATTATGCGGGGGAATTTCCAGTGTTTTTGCTGAACTGATTTGGACAGAAACAATCAGTGAACTTTCTGAGCATTTGGACTTTTGCCTGCAGCAAACCAAGCCAAGGCAAATGGTTCCTTAAAACTCCAAGGGGGAGCTGGAGAGTGGGGGGGCCGGGAGCTCAGGGGTGAAACCTGGCCTTATGCAAAGCTGAGGCATGGTTGAGGGGCCTCCTTCTGTCCCACTTACCCACATTGTCATGGATTGAATTGTGTCCCCCCAAAATATCTGTCAGCTTGGCTGGGTCATGATTCCCAGTGTTATATAATTGTGTACCATTTTGTAATCTGATGTGATTTCTTGATGTGTTGTAAATCCAATCACTATGATCTAATGAGATGGATTAGCAGCAGTTACACTGAAGAGGTCTACAAGATTAGATAGTGTCTTAAGCCAATCTCTTCTGAGATATAAAAGAGAGAAGCAAGCAGAGAGACATGGGAACCTTATACCACCAACAAGGCAGTGCTGGGAGCAGAGCGTGTCCTTTGGACCTGAGGTTCCTGCGCAGAGAAGCTCCCAGACCAAGGGAAGACTGATGGCAAGGACCTTCCTCCAGAGCTGACAGAGAAGGGCTTCTCCTAGAGTTTACGCCCTGAATTTGGACTTGCAGCCTACTGGACTGTGAGAGAATAAACTTCTCTGTGTTAAAGCCATCCACCCGTGGTGTTTCTGTTAGAGCAGCACTGGATGACTGAGACACACATGATCGAGGTTTCGCCTGTCCTTCCCACCTCCCCACGGGTGCAGGCTCGTGCCCCTCCTTATACCCCATGTGATTGAGGAACGCCCTCCCACTTCCTGGGCCGCCCCATGCTCTCCCCATGGGCCTTGTGTTCTCCTGCTATTCTGGGGCCTCCTGACCTCTAGCAAGGCATCCCGTGGCATACCCCCAGGCACCGCCTCCAACTGCGTCCCAGTGTTCTAAAACTACCATACAGGCAGCCATTTAAAAAGTGTACAAGAGTGTAATGACGTGGAACTGTCCTCACCGTACTCTGAGGTCAGGAAGCAGGTTACAAAACAGTATAACTGCTTTTGTGAGAAAAAGGGAAGCTTAACAAGAAAGCAAGTGTGTCTGTCTGTCCTTGGGAAGAAAGACTGAGAGTATCCAAAGTGCTAATAATGGTTGTCTCCAGGTGGTGGAATGACAAGTGATGTTAACCTTTCTCGTTTTTGTGGTTGTCTGCTTTTCAGCAGTGAACACGTTACTTTTGTGCTGGTCCATACTCGAGGCGCTGTTGACAGTTTAGGCGAGCACAGTGTGAGCTGTGATGTTGGAAAGTGATAGTAGCTTCCCAAGGAGCCGGGAGATCCACGGAGCTGGGAGATTTTTGTTGGCTCTGGAGCCTCAGCGTTAGAATTTCCAGGAAGCTCTGGGCTCCTGGATAGTTCCAGAAGCGGGTGCTTCAGGAGGGTAGGAGCACATGGGCTGCCCAGGCACATCCCAGGAAGTACCTGTTTCCATCACCCCCTTAGACCAGGAATACCAGGCTTGCCCATAGTTAACAATTTGGCAATTACTCAACAAGCAACAAAAAGAAAGCAATTGTAGGCAAATCATCTGCTGTTTGCCACCATCTCTTTCTCTTCTCTGGCTCATGCCCTAAGCTAACCTCAGGAGGAGAGGACCCCACAAGATACCAGTGACCTGGCTGTGGTGGCTAAAAACCCAGAGGAAGAGGCCTGCCCCCCACTTCCTCCTCCTCCCCCTCAGAGCTGCCAAAACAGCCATTGCTTGCTGTGCTCTCCAAAACCGACCTGGTCCATGCTCGCTGCCCGCTGCGCCCCCTTTTGCAATTGTACCCTTAAACCCGTCTTTCCCTTCTTGTTTTCTAGCCCACCTAAGCCGGCCGTGTTCATCTCCGGTGTGATGGCCCGGGTAAGAGCTCATTTTTCTCTGTCTGAGAGCGTCTGAAGTGGATGAAAGGCCTTTGCACTTGATTTCAGCAAATTAGAGTGCCAACATGTGATCTCTCGATTTCTTCTGTTTTTGTTAACCGCCACCGAGAATCACAGAGTCATACCGTTCATCTAAAGCGGGGCCTGGTGGCTGTCCTAGCTGCTTCATTTCTATGGAGCGTGTCTCTGTAGGTAGGAATTTATGAAATGATACAAAACACGGAGCACCCATCGTGACCTGGAGCTAAACTGCTATGGAACTGCCTTCCTCTTCTTTCTCTGCACTAACCCAGGGGTCAGCAAACCACGGCCCGTGGGCCAAGTGCTTTTGGATGACCCGTGAGCTAAGAATGCGTTGACGTTTTTAAATAGTTGAAAAAAATCAAAATCAAAATAATATGTCGTGACATGCGAAAATTGTATGAAATTCAAATTTCAGTGTCCATGAATAAAGTTTTCTTGGAACACAGCCACGCTTGTTCATTTACACATTGTGTCAGCTTTGGGGCGGCAACAGCTGAGTTGAATCGTTGCAAAAGACATTATGACCCCAAAAACCCTAAAACATGGACTATCTAGACCTTTACGGAAGACGTATGCTGACCCCTGGGCTAAACTTATGGGTTTTTGTCATCCCTTTATCTTCAGAGGAGCCCTGGTGGCGCAGTGGTTAAGCGTTGGGCTGCTGACCAAAAGGTCGGCAGTTCGAATCCAACAGGGACTCCTTGGAAACCCTATGGGGCAGTTCTACTCTGTCCTGTAGGGTCACTATGAGTCGGAATCCACTTGACGGCAATGGGTTTTTTTAATCTTCAAAGAGCCAGAGACCCAGCATTTTGTTTTTACTGCACACGTCCCACTGTGAACTCCTGTCTGAGGCGGTGGAATGACCTCATCCAGGCCCTGTGCTCTCGGGGCATCCCGAGTCCTTGTTAAATGATATCGCAAGAAGTACCGCTCACTGCTGGCAGAGCCATGGCCCCAGCCTTCCAGAGACTTGGAAAGACTGTGGCATCACTGCCCCACGTGAGATGATTAAATGCCGACGTGGTCTGAGGATAGCACAGCCAGCTGGCTCAGCCAGAGCACACCTCACTGGGCTGCCCGTGGTTGGCCGGCCGTGGCCCCACCCCAGCTCCATGCCACACCCAGCACTGTTGGCACAGGACACCAATTCCTCCCTGAAAAAGGCTGGGTACCTTCTCCCAAGACTCTGGGGCTGGATAAGGCTCTGTCTCCCGGCTGTCACTGTGCCCTGGGTGCTTCCCTCCCGTCCTGACACTCACCCCCACCCCGTGGCGGCAAATCTGAATTTAACAAGTCACATGATCACAAAAGCAGCTGGAGAAGAACAAGGCCACCCAACATCCGGTTCAGCCCTAAACAAGTAGTAGCAGGGTTACCTGTGTTTCACGGCTTAGGGGCGTAGGCGGTGAATTCTCACCTTCCCGATGCTGTGTGGCCCTTACTGCCCCTTTAGCTCCCAGGCTTGGACAGGATGCCGCCATCCCCAGAGACAGACTTCCGCCCCTCTGGTGGTTATCGTCCCCCTGCCACTCATGACACCCACTCCCCGGCAGGGAGGCTGTCCACCCACTAACCAGTGGTTTAAGGCCCTTGTGTTTGTGTCTCCTGACAGGGTGACAAGGACTTCCCCCCGGCAGCTGCACAGGTGGCCCACCAGAAGCCGCACGCCTCCATGGACAAGCATCTCTCTCCGAGGACCCAGCACATCCAGCAGCCTCGCAAGTGAGTGGGCGCGGAGCCCAGGCCCCAGCAGCAGCACCGGGCAGCCCACCTTCGATGTTTATCCCACACAGCGAACTGGCATATCTTCCCCCACATGCGGCTCTGTTGGGAAATCTAAGACAAAGCAAAGCTCTCCTTCCTTTGCCTTACATTTCCCTTGTTGGATGCTAGAAAGGGAGCAGACCCCAGACCTTGTGTACGTAGTCCTGATTGGATGTTGTTCAGGGACTATCATCCCTGGGTCTTCACAGTTTGGTCTAAAAACACCAGTTGCTGTTGAGTTGATTCTAACTCATGGTGACCCTGTGTGTGTCAGAGTAGAACTGCACTCCATAGGGTTTTCAGTGACTGATTTTTTGGAAGTAGATCACCAGGCCTTTCTTCCAGGGAGCCTTTCTTCCAAGGAGCCTCTGGGTGGATTTGAACTGCCAGCCTTTCAGTTAGCAGCCCAGTGCTTAACCATTTGCGCCACCTGGGGGCTCCCAGTTTGGTCTAGAGATGCTGTTATCAGAATTTGCCAGCACCTGCATAAGGTGGTGGTGTTAAAAGTTTAGCTTTAGTTCTGTGCCAGCAATTCTCCTGTATCCCTACCTTTAATCTGAAAAACAATAGGGCACATATTCGGAAGGATAAGGTTAAGCTTAGCCATTTCAAGCTTCTTAAAAAGAAGACAATACAGTCTTAACATCCCTGGAGAGGAAGAAATGAGAGAGTTCATTGAATTGCAGTTTTGGGGAGGCAGAGCAGGAAGGATTTTTGGAACAAGCCACAGCAAGAGTGAGTCCTGAGCGTCGCTGGACAGAGTGACGCCGAGCAAAAGAAACGCTCGCAGCTCACACTCGATGCCAGCCGAGAGGCCGAGAGGCTATGCGCTGCGGCTTTGAAACAGCTCTTGGAGTCCAGGAGTCACCTTGCTGAAAAATCAGGGTGTGGGCAGTTTGCTCAGAGGCAGCTCTCTGTGTGAGGGTCCTGGTTCCGAGACCACCTCCCACCCAGAGGGGCTCTGCCGGGAAATCAGAGGCAAACGCGTGGGTCTCGGTAGTCACCTCGAGAGCTGCTTCTGAGCTCTGGAGTGCTCACTGACCGGGGCGGGGGACTGGACATAGCTGCATCTGGAGCATTGGGGCTAGAGAGCTGAACCCACGTGAAAACCAGACGAAAACCCGCCCAGTTTATTAGGAAGGTCTTTTGTCGCCCTAACCGTTGCTGTCGAGTCAACTCCGACTCACAGTGACCCCATGTGTGTCAGAGTAGAACTGTGCCCCACAGAGTTTTCAATGGCTGAGTCTTCAGAAGTAGATCACCAGGCCTTTCTTCCAAGGTGCCTCTGGGTAGACTCGAGCCTCCAGCCTTTTCGTTAGCAGTCCACTGTGTTAACTGTTTGTAGCACCCAGGGACTCTGAGCCAGCCAAAAGAACCCTAAATAAATACAACCAGTCCAGATACCCTAAAATGCTATTAACAAATATAGTTGTGAGGAACATAGAAAAAATGGACCTACGTATTCAGATTTTCTTTTTGATAAAAAGCCAGTTACCGTCAAGTCAGTTCCAACCCTTGGCGACCCCATGTGTGTCAGAGTAGAACTGTGCTCCATAGGGTTTTCATTGGCTGGTTTTTCAGAAGTAGATCATCAGGTCGGTCTTCCGAAGCACCTCTGGGTGGACTCGAACCTTCAACCTTTGAGTTAACAGTCGAGCGCATTAGCCGTTTGCACCACCCACCCAGGGCCTCCTTTGTTTGCCTAAGCAGCTAGAAACACCACATTCCAGTTCAGCTACAGACGCGTCCTTCAGCTGTGCCCAGAATTCCCGTTGCCCTGATGCACGTTACCCTGTGGCCCTGTCCACACAAGGGGGTGAGATCGTCCAGCACTATTCTCCATGTGGTTCCTACCTGGAGACATGCTAGCCTGCTCCCTGGGGGGTGGCCAGAGAGTGCCCGCTGAAAACGGCTCCTTACTCGGTTACTAAGATCTTCCGGAGCACACTGCTCGCTCCCCAACGGTTTCTCCACTGCCGGTCAGCAATGGTCCTGTGAGCAGCGCACACCCCAGCCTTCCCAGACTGTTATCACATCCACTCTGCCAGCTGGTAGACATAGACGCCAACCTGGGCAGACCCACCTCTCTCCCTGTCCCCTCAGAGAAGCACAGCGCTGCTCCCACTGTAAAGGCAGGTCTTGGTTTCTCATCTGAGTGACTTACTGGAAGCCGGCGTGCAGCCCTCCCGGCACCGTGGCACCATCTGTGTTTCCCAATCATGAAATGTTGGTATAAACTGGCAGTGGCTTTCGGTGATCCCGACCACCTCCTCTGCTCTGTATTCTGAAGCGAGAATCCTGCAGGCAGCGCTCGGTTGGGCCTCTGTGGACCCCTCACCTCTGCTACAGAAGTTAAGAAGCATCCTTATACTTTTTCGTTTTGCAGCCAGAAGGAGTGCCATGTTATTTCCAAAGATGTACCTTTCATGTGCTTTTAGCTCTTATCAGGCGCGTGTCTGTGGGTGCTTGATTATTGAATGCAAAATATTTTCTTTAATGAGTTTATCAATTGTAATTTCAAGAATAATGATTATAATAAAATTCCTGCATTTCTTCTTGTGGTTCCTTTTCCTTATATTTCAGAGGTTTCTATCATGTATTACTAGGGTTGGTTTCAGTAGAAAGACTAACATGCTTCCATAACCAGTCAGTAGTCCCTGACACAAAGCCGGAGGATGGGACCTGGCCACTGGAGTCTGCCATCCACTTCAGAACGTCCTAACATGGAGGAGCTTAATGCAGCCGACTGGAAGCCTGCCGTGGGCCCAGCAGCTGGCTGCCTGCTCGGCACGCCCTTTTGGATCAGACGTAGCAGCAGAGCTAGTAGTGAGGGTGGGGCCGCAGCTTTTGGCGTGCAGAATGTTGCCTTTATCAGAAGGTCTCCAGTAGCCCTTGCAATAAGGTGAGAAAACAATCACAACCATTTAACAGGAGATCCGGAATCTACTCACAGAATTTGACAGGAGGGCCCTGAAGTTTGTCATTTGTCAGGAGACCCTCTGGGGTGCTGCCCCAGCCCCCAGCACGGTGTGGTGGTCACGGCTGGAACCTGCAGCTCCCGCCAGCCGTGGCCTTTCCTGAGCCCTTGTATTCCCGCAGCCTGCCTCACGAGACCGTCAGCTTCCTGAGAACGGGATGAGGGTATCACTCATTTCTCTATCACCAGGCTCAGCGTCCGTACTCAGAAAATAAATGGTGGTGAACAGAAGTGCCAAACAGACAACAAGCATGGAACAGAGCTGCCCCAAAGACGCTCCAGGCAATTAATACACATCAGTGTGGGCCGTGTGCTCGAAAACCAAAAACCCGCTCCAGGCTCACACCATTTGAATGACTCTTGTGTTAGTCATCCAGTGCTGCTGTAACAGAAATACCACATGTGGATGGCTTTAACACACAGAAGTTTATTCCCTCAGTCTAGGAGGCTAGAAGTCCAAATTCATGATGTCAGCTCCAGGGAAAGTCTTTCTCTCTCTTTTGGCTCTGGGGGAAGGTCTTTGTCATCAGTCTTCCCCTCGTCTAGTAGCTTCTCAGCGCAGGGACCCCAGGTCCGAAGGATGTGTGCCCCTGGCTCTACTTTCTTGGTGGTTTGAGGTCCCCAAGTCTTTCTGTTCACTTCTCTCTTTTATATCTCAAAAAGAGATTGGTTTAAGACACAACTTAATCTTGTAGATTGAGTCCTGCCTCATTAACATAACTGCCACTAATCCAACCCCATTAACATCATAGAGGTAGGGAAGTCACATCAGATGACAAAATGGTGGACAATCACAATACTGGGGATCATAGCCTAGCCAAGTTGACACACATTTTTGGGGGACACAATTCAAGCCATAATGACTCTTCATTTGGTAAATTGCTTTTCTGAATAAATTTTATCCACCACTGATTTCACAATAGCCGCTGAGCGGGGGGCAGGGAGAGAGGATGGTGGCAGCAGGCAGGGAGGGGCAGGGACGAGGGGCTGGTGCCACCCCCCTGCAAGGGCCGCCTGCCCCGGGCCCAGTAGCTTTTCAGACTCAACTGTCAATTGCAGACGCTGTTAGGTTGGAAAGTCAATGTGCTTCTAGGTCCCACTTCTCATTTTTTGTACAAGTCTTCCATTAGTGGTGCTTGTCCCCATTTTACAGGTGAGGAAACTGACACTCAGCATCCAGTGTCAAAAGTCACCTTTAGCAAGTAGGAGAACTGAGACTTGATCTGGATCCTTCTGACTCCACAGCCATCCTCACGCCACGGAGCATCATGCTGTTTGCTCAGCTGTGGTGGTAGTACTACACAGCAGAAAATCAAAGGAGGAAGAGATGTTGTTAGATTGTTGTTAGGTGCTGTCAAGTCGATTCCAACTCATAACTACCCTGTGTACAACAGTACAAAACACTGCCCAGTCCTGCGCCAGCCTCACAATCGTTACGTTTGAGCCCATTGTTGCAGCCATTGTGTCAATCCATCTCATTGAGGGTCTTCCTCTGTTGCTAGGATGATGGAAGCTATGTCACCAGTATTTCAAATACCAGCAGGGTCACCCATGGTGGACGGATTTCAGTAGAGCTTCCAGACTACAACAGACTAGGAAGAAGGACCTGGTGATCTACTTCTGAAAAGATTGGCTAGTGAAAACCTTATGAATTGCAGCTGCCAGGATGCTATCACAGAACATGCCATTGTTCTGATGGGAAGGGCGAGAGGGTCAGTAGGGTGCTGTGGTTGAAAGGCGAGATGACCAGGCTGATGGGGAAAGCCTTAACCGAACAGCCCCAAAGGAGGAGAGAGGCCATTCCAGGCAGAGGCTGAGGTGCTGTGTGGCCTCCAAGAAGAGCTATGGAGCAGGTCTTTGAGAAGGTGAGTCCAGAGTTTGGGCGGGTGTCATGGATTGAATTGTGTCCGCCCAAAATATCTGTCCACTTGGCTAGGTCATGATTCCCAGTATTGTATGATTGTCTACCATTTTATCATCTGATGTGATTTCCCTCTGTGTTGTAAATACTATCACTATGATGTAATAAAATGGATTAGCCTCAGTTAATATTGATGAGGTCTACAAGATTAGATAGTGGCTTAAGCCAATCTCTTTTGAGATATAAAGGAGCGAAGCA